AAAAAAGGAAGAAGATGATCGAAAGAGGGGGTTCCACCGGAACCCAGGTGGAACCCGAGCTGGGTTCCGGTGGAACCCAGTTGCAACTGGGTTCCTCGAACCCAGCTGATTTGGGTTGTGGAACCCAGATCTGTTGGGTTCCGGTGGAACCCAGTTTGCTGGGTTCGGTGAACCCAGTTGCTGGGTTCCACCGAACCCAGCAGACAAAGGAAGAACCCAGCAGACAGAGGAAGAGGAAGAAGAGGAAGAAAGAAAAAGAAAAAAAAAAAAGAAGAAGATGATCGAAAGAGGGGAAGAAGATGGGTGAAGAAAAGGAGATGGGTAAATTTGTAATTTTATATTTTTTTTTATTAAGGTAAAATCGATTTATGAGTTGGCGCTGACGTGTCTTAAAAAAGATTCCAAATCAGCGGTTTTTTACATTGTTTCTGCCATGTCATCAAAAAAATTATAAAATATGCCACGTGTCGTAGTTAACGGTCTAAATTGACAGAAGGACTAACGGAGTGCATTTCTTATAGTTAAGGGATCAAAAAAGTGCAAAAAATTATTAAGGGACCAAAAATATGCAACTCACTAAAGTTGAGGGATCAAATTTAGCATTTAACCAAAAAAAAAAAAAAGTTTCATGAAGCCAAACATACCATCTACAAAAAGTGAACGACATTAATTCAAGTTTCAAAACCACCGGGTTGAAACGGACCATTCTCGTATCTCAACCTCTTTGCTCCGGTACTAAGAATAAAGTTACATGGTTAGTGAGTTGGACACGGCAAGTTTGGGGTACGTACGACCACCACACGCGAGTGTTTCCCGAAACAACGGCACCTCTGCTCTGGCTATGGCTGATGGCTAGCTAGTTTGCTATATAAACCTATTGGGACCACCCAAGATTTGTCCCTCAGTTCCATAATTGGGATCAACCTCTCTTGTCCTCCACTTCTCTCTACCCTCCACGTGCCTTTCTTCTTCCTTCCTTCTTCAACCCTTCAAATCACATTTCCGTGTAGTACATTGTATTTAATTTTAATTGTTCAATCATTAAAGAATATTATGACGAGACAACAAAAATACTAATAGCTAGGTAGAGAGAAGTAGAGTAGTGCCCTTAATTGAAGGGAATGGATCATGTGGCTTAAACTTTATAGAAGGAGGGAGCTCAATTAATCAAAGTCGAAATTAAAGTCACAAATGTTTAAACCCCACTTCCATGGGTGTGTGTGCAGCCTGACCTCAATATGATAATCCTGGCAGATCGTGAAAATTTGAGGAAGACTCACATGGGTCAACTCCTGAGTATCATATTCCAACTTTTCACTCTTCCTTATGTTTTTACTAGATTTTTTATTCCGTTCTTATTTATTTAAGAGACATGCGCATATGATATGTCTTGATTAAGAATCAAGGGTTACAAACACTATTTCATTTTCTAATATAACCTTTAAATAAACACGTAACATTAAATAAATAAATATATTTTGATTCATGTCTTACCCAAAAAAATAAAATCAACCATAATAACGGTCATGTTAAGTTAAGAAATTTTTTCTCAAATATAATTACGTGGCACTAAGTTTTCAAAACATTAGAGAACAAGCTTCAACCCATAATAAATTGAAAGCCGAAAAAATAAAGCCATGGAATATGACACGAAAAAAATCGTCATGAACGCAATCAGAACCCTTAACTAGAATTGAGAAGCCTGCCCCTGACACAAGGTAACATTGACAGCAAATTCTGAAAGCCACTGATGGACAATTAAACCTATGCAGCGAATGGGCCCAACATTGCAAGGCCGAGAAAGAAGCAGGTCCCACAAAAATCCACCCTAAGAGGCCCACTAGGGTTCTTTGTGGCCCACTATTTATTTAATCTCTTTTGTTTCCCCTGTCATGTTGTGCCCACAAACCCAACAGCCAGCCCATTTCTGAAGTGGTCAGTGCTTCGTACGGCAACCCTCTCCCCTGTTCAGACTTTAGATTCCATCATTACAATCAACGGCAAAAAAATAATTTACCTTTAGCCCTTTATCTTATTAGATTTGTAGGTTTTAACCTATCATCTTTTACTATAACACTTTTAGTCCTTTACTTATTAGAATTAAATAAAATAACTATCATTTATAACATTTTGTTAGTTTTGTTAGTTGACTGTTAACTTTATTAACTGACTGTTAGTTAACAAAAATTTATTTTTAACTAATAGAATTAATAGTCAGCTAACAGAATAATTCTGTTAGCTGACTATTAACTATATTAACTAGCTGTTAGTTGATAAAAATCTATTTTCAGCTAATAAAGTTAACAGTCAGTTAATAGAACTAACGAAATATTATAAATTGGAGGCTATTTTCTTCAATTTTAATAGGTGAGGGACTAAAAATATTATAATATAAGATGAGGAGCTAAAACCTACACATCTAATAAGATAAAAAGTCAAAATAGATTTTTACCTACAAACAACACCATTAATCTCTCAAGGCCTAATTGGTATATACGTCGCCCAGCATACACACACATATATATATATATGTATATTGGGAGTCATGACATAAATTGATGTATCTCAGTTTAGAATTTTAAGATTATAGGAACAAAACCAATAATAATTAGAAAATGTTATAAATTATAAATTAATTGTCACTGATTATTTTGGAGAAAAATAAATATAATTGCTTATTTTTCTCATAATCCATTACTTTACCTTAAAAGACACTTTACCACAATTTTTATTAGGAAAATGCATTCGGAGCCTTTAATCACTAAAGCAATATAAGGGATTACTTTTATTTATTCCTTGGATATTTATTTCCAATAATGAAGTCACATGCAAAATGGCATGGCTTCCTGGAAAAAATATTTTGGGACGTGTATACCAAACGAGCCCTTAGTGGTGGGAGTTCTAATCCCAGCAAAGGCTTTGAAAAATCCCTCTCCTCCAATTACCTATATTCAAAATTAAAAAAAAAAAAAAAAGAGAAGAGAGAAAAAGGATTACAATCAACACCATTATTAGTGCAGAAATACCAATTATTTACAATAAAAATGAGAAATAATCTGTTTTGTTAGGCCCAGTCTCCATGTCGTTTCATAATTTCACACCACTACCAGTATTACTACGTGTCCACGAAATTTGATGTACATCAAGGGCCCCTGTCCTGCATTACATGTGAATCACACACAGACGCTGTGGGGTTCACCAGATCCGCTGTCTGAAAGATTGGGTCCGACCCAGATACCGCTTTATGTTTTGCACGGAAATGCATACAAGTCCAACCTGTGCAGAACAGGGGAGCAGTGAATCCAGACCTATTGCTATTGGAGCCGATCCAAGATTCCCGCACTAGCTTAATAAAAGCATTTTAATTTTCACCCATACCTACCTGGCATTAGGTACATCATAAAAGCCTTTTTCTCCCATGATCTCGATGGGATTTTGAGGAAGCAAATTCGAAAGGCAAGGCGTAGTAAAGAAGCTCATATAGTACCTTAATAACACCTATTTTTGAAGGACGAAGGTACCATGATAAAAGGCAGGGTGAAGGAGATACAAAAGAACCATGAGCAGCAAGCTTTTGCACCACCAGTCATAGTTATTAGATTAACAGAAAGACCATCACGCGTTCTACTTGGACTGCAGACCAGTTCAAAGCCCATTTTCCTCAAGCTATGTAGTTCTGCACAATTTCCATTTTGATGAGGATCTTCATGTAAAGTTTTAAACTGTATATTGCTGGATGCAAATGAGTGAAGTATTGATATACCCAAATCCCATTCCCAAATTTTAGTCCACTTTGCCTTTTACAGCACTCATCCTCACCAGATGCAGGAATAACGGGTCAATTTGCGCGCATGTGTTTTGTGGTTGTGTAAAGTTTAACTTCAACATATCCAGAAGAAATTCAATAAAAAGCTATTGGCTTAGTTACAGAGTGAATCACCTTCAATTATAGTGATAATAGATGAGAGAGTCTTTCCTTCATTCTTTCCAATCATATGGGGCACGCTCAACAACTAGGTAGTCACCCCTGATATCCTTCACAACTCGAATCTCATCATCAAGATAGACAGTCTCAAACCTAGAGAACAAATATCCACATGAGACCTCTAAAACTTGGAATAATATAATAAAATAAACTTACTATCAAGCAAGCCCAGACCTCTTTCTCCTTTACTTGACTGGAAAGAGTGGTGAGAAAGGGGGACATGAGACAAAGGTGCAAAAACAAGCAAATAAGTACTGCAAGATGCTTAAGTTTGAGAATCTAAAACTCAAATCAGTTGCCATGTCAAGGATCCTTCAACTGATGAGTAACAAAATGAGGGATAACAACGACAAAGCAATGCATTCTTGGGCAAATGAAGAGAAGATAATTAATCACAAGAAAAGCAAATAAGCAATCAATAAAACCGGTATTTACACATCATAAGACCAAAAATGAAGACCATTTAATCATATTATAAACATGAAGCTATAAGGGATGTATTGGCTTCGAGTTTGAGGGACATGCCAGTAGGTGTCACCTATGAGGTAAACCCTGAAAAACCAACTATTCGTTTCTTGTAATTATACCAACATTCAACTTAAATCACCAAAAATCTGAATCCTGAGAAATTGAATATGGCGGTAAACAGATATAATTGAACATATAATTTTGAATTTTTAGCTTAAAAACTAATTTGACAAAAATCTAAGCCACACAGCCCCTTTGCAATTGAAACAAGTGTTATGAAACTGCATTTGAGCATGATAAAACTGATCCAATTATGATCTTCAAATTGATTCCAAGTAACAGACATAGAGTAACAGCAAAGAAAACCATTAAGCAGATTAATCAATGAAATAAAACAACTAGAAATACTGATAAAACCATACAGTTAACAAATACAGAATGCCTACACTCACCAACCCTGTCCAAATGGCGGCAACGGAATCTCCCATTCTCTTCCCCTTAGAACGGCACTCGTAAATCTGACAATTCACATAAACACTTAATCAAATTCCATAGCAACAATTAAACGTTTTTATGGTGGAATTGGAAAGGCAGAAAATTCATTAGCAATCAAGCGTACCTAAAATTTACTCTCTGGGCCGAGGCTATCTCGATGGTGGAGCGAACAAAGAAAACACCGTCAGGTGGAAAAGTAATCACATTGTTGAGCGTCCTTTTCTCAACGTCGATTACCTGCAAAACGTCACCGGCTTGAGTTCCAAACAAATACGCCTTCTCTATAATGAAGAGCTGCTCCTTCTCCGTTGTCCAGAGCAGCCGCCACGTGGCGGATAAGGAATCGCCAGTGGTGATCGTATCCCGGCCAAGAACAGCCATGGCATCAATGGCCTTGACGATTGCATTGAGTTTGATGGTATCATTCTGAGTCTTGAGTCCTCGATCTTGGTCGGAGATGAGACTGAGAAGGTCTTCTTTGGCTGATTGAGACTGCGCTGCGGTGGAGGAGAAGCTGGCTTTGGTAGAGTTTGAGCTCCGGTTTTTGAGTTTTGGAGGGAGCGGGCGGGAGAGTAAATTAGTAAGGCGTGGAAATGGTAACGGAAGAAGGGCAAGCGCCACTCCCATGTCCTTCGTCCGAAATTGGAGGTGGAGGGGAGACGAGGAGAGATGACGGAAAATTGGATGTGAATAGTCCACGTGTGACAGTGAGCCTGGGCTGTGGACTGTATCCTATGCTCTATTTTTAATACATGGGCTGGGTTGGGCTAGGCTGGGCTGTAGTCTCGAATCTTAGCGGTATTAGTAAAAATACGACGACGTAGTGATGCTCTTCTGCTCTGCTCTGCTCTGCTGCTGCCCGCCGGCAAACATATAGAACCCTCACTCAAATTCAAAATGGCGCAAACTAAAAACCTTCTCCGAGAGCATTCCTTTTCCAGTCACTTCCCTGGACGCTTCTACATTCACAAGTTTCGGACCGCCGGTGTCACTGTTGACTAACCGATCCGATCTAAGTTCCAATCCGGCGTCGGCTTCTTACCGTCGTGAACCAGAATGGCAATTGCTGCTCAAGCTCCTGATATTCAAGGCGAACGTCAATATGGCCAAGACGTTCGCACACAGAATGGTGCTATCTCTTTACGTCTCTTCATGTCTTTCTTCGTGTTCTGTACATTGCCTTGCAACTTGCGAGGCAGTGAAGCATCTATAAGAATAGTTTTGTCAAGAATGCGGAAAGTATCGTCTCGAAAATTTTTTATTTGATAATGCCATTATTTATGGTCCTGCTCTTGATATATCTGTTGACAGGATTTAATTTGATTCACCATGATGTTTGTTCATGATTTTCAGATGCTTGTTGATGATAGTGGTGATGTAACAATTACCAATGATGATGTTACAATTCTCAAAATGTTAGAAGTGGAGCAAATGGTTGCCAAGAAAATATTTTTGAATGAAAATGTTACTTGTGAAACTTGTCTTGCTTTTTTATATTTTTCTGGTGTTTGGTATGGATCAAAATTTTAATGTGTTTTCATAATATTTGAGATGATGAGCACTTACGAGGATAAACTGTTTACTTGATTTGTGTCTTATTTGATCTCTACTAACTAGTCTAATTTCTATGAGGCCACAGCCACAGGTATTGGTGGAGTTGGTTGAGCTTCAAGACAGAGAAGTTGGTGATGGTACCACATCAGTTGTAATTGTAGCTGCAGAATTAGTGAAGGTAACTTCAGCTAGTGCATTCTGGGCTTTTAATATCATCCACGTCAAATCTCATAATTTTTAACTGGAACAATGGCCTCGTAACATATGATTTGCTTGCAATTTTGCAGAGAGCAAATGATCTAGTGAGAAATAAAATTCATCCAACATCTATAATCGGTGGGTACAGAGTAAGTGCCTGGCTTCTTCTTCCACAAGTTAGTTTTTGAAAGACATATCAGGAGCAAATGTATCAATATTCTACAACCTGATCATCTTGTCTGGCTTCTCTTTTGTGGCAGATTGCTTCGAGGGAAGCACACCGATAAGTTAATGGGAAATCAGCAGTGAGGGTAAGTGTCCTCACTGTAGGTTATCTTTGAAAGGGGTAGAAAATTAATTGATTGAATTTTCATCTTAGAGTTTTCTAGGTTTCTAAAGATTCTTATCCCTCTTTATTTTAAATATATGGCAGTAGATACAAAGCTTTTGCCAATTGACATATTAACTAGATTGTTTAGCCAACTTTACTAGGTTGAGAGCCTTGAAAAGGATTCTCTAATTAACTGTGCCAAGACCAGCATGTATTCAAAGCTGATATCCGGTGAAAGGGACTTCTTTGCTAATCTGGTATATTTGTTTACTGGCCTCTAATAATTTCCAATTGATTTTTGGTTCTCAGCAATTTGAAGAATGGTTTGACTAATATCTTTGAGCCCTTTACAAGTACATGATATTGAATGTTGTTGTCTTTGAGTTGCTAATTAAAAGATTTATTCCAAGCATGTATTTCTATCTCTGTAAATAAGGGTTTCCACTTTCTAAATTCTCTTTTAGATTGGTCTTGGTTAGCATGCTATTTTATTAGAAAAGAATGGTTTGCGTTATTGTTTTATAATATTTTCTCTTCCTGCAATACTTTTTATCTTTTCGAAGAAACTAGTGCATGTTTTCCTTCTGGTCATCTGTGAAAGGCCTCAAACCAGGGACATGTCTGGTTAGCTTACAAGTTGAATTTGCATGTTTAGGTTGTAGATGCGGTTCAAGCAGTGAGGATAACAAATGCATGAGGGGAAATCAAATACCCAATCAAGGTAGATAGTGACATGATTGTGTTCCCTCATATTATGAGATGGCAACTTTTATCTAAATTTGTAGTTTTCTTCATCCTCGTCAAAGCTTATGGTTTGTGGAATCATTAGCTGCATTGTTCATCTTACAGGGAATTAATATTTTGAAAGCTCATGGAAAAAGTGCCAGAGATAGCTACCTACTGAATGGTTATGCACTTAATACTGGCCGTGCTGCCCAGGGAATGCCTCTTAGAGTAGCCCCTGCAAAGATTGCTTGACTTAAATCTCCAGAAGACAAAAATGCAGCCGGGTGTCCAAGTCTTGGTAAATGATCCTAGGGAGCTTGAGAAGATTCGTGAAACGTGATGATTCAAAATGGACTCATCCTATGTTACTTTCAAATGTTTAACGAGTGTGGTGCTGATGGGAAATACCTCTTTATCTTTGTCTCTATAGGGAAGCTGATATGACAAAAGAACATATTGAGAAACTTTTGAAAGCAGGAGCTAATGTTATTTTAACCACAAAGCGGATTGATGACATGGCACTCAAGACAAGCTTCTTCATTAGTTTCTGTACAACTACATTTTGCCTATGCTGCTACTTTTTTACTAATTTTATCATAACTTTCCTTCCTTTCATAAATTGTTCAATGTTTTTTTCAGTACTTTGTGGAGGCTGGGGCTATTGCTGTGAGACGTGTCCGAAAAGAAGATATGTTGTTAAGGCAACTGGTGAAACCATGGTATGTTCCTTTAAAACGCAGGTGTGAAATAATTGTGATAACTAAGGGTGGTAATTTCCCCCTATTCTCGGGGGCCCCGTGGGGATCCCGGCAATTGGGATGGGGTGGAGAGGAATATTTCTCTTCGTGGGATGGGGACAGCTGATATTTTTCCCACAGAGATCCCCATCCTTGTGAAAAATTAAAAAAATATGTAAATTAATTTTATTTTAAATTTAATTCAACCTTCAAATCCGAACTCAATTCAATTACCCAACCCATCATTAATCTTTTTTAACTATTTATGTTGGATTAATCTTTATTTATGTTTGGATAATTTATATTTGATTTTATATTTAAAGAATTTTAGTTAATTGTACTTAAAATTTTAGAATTTTATTCATTATAATTGAATATTAATTAATTATATATAAAAAATTTATATTTTGATATTAATTGACGGGGAATGGAGATCTCCACGGGAATCCATGTTCCCTGTGGGGCAAAATTTACTCCCCAGTTAAAAATCCTTGTGGGGATTCTCGTTGCCACCATCTGCGGAGACAGGGATAAGGAGGGACTCCCAAACCCCGCAGGGCCGCATTGACATCCCTAATGATAACTATGAAAAATTGTTTTCAAAATTGTCAACCATAAGGATGGTATTACTATTGTTATGGGGTAAGATATCACATTCACCAGCAGAGAGGGCTTTAAAGATACTAGTCCAATCAATGTTCATTGATGGATCTGTATGTTTCAACATTTGCTGATATGGAGGGGGAAGAGACTTTTGATTCATCACTACTCGAATATGCTGATGAAGTAGTGGAGTGCATTGCTGATGATGATGTGATTATATATGATAAAGGGGACAACAACTACTGGTGCGGTGACTAAATGATTAATTTAAATTTTGTGGCTTTTTAACTGTGATGAAGCTATAAATACATGTGAATTTGTGGCAAAGCCTAGTGTAGTTGAAATATGCCAAGTTATTTACCAATATCTTAGGGTATTTGTACTCAAAAGTTAGCTATAGTATATGATTACAAATGACCTTGTCATGTGTGATTATCGTAATATCATTATTTCTAGGTTTCCCTGATCCTTAGAGGTGCAAACGACTACATGCTTGACGAGATGGAGAGAGTTCTGCATGATGCTTTGTCTATTGTGAAAAGCACCCTTGAATCCAATATGGTAAATTTGAATACTTTTATATTACCTTTTTGTATTATAATAGGGCATCAGAATAATTGCTAGTAAGAATGGGGTTGCTACTATTGCTATTTAATGTCCACTATTGTTTTGGTAAATGGTAATGCAGGTAGTAGCATGTAGGGGTGCAGTTGAATCTGCCTTGTCTGTGTACTTGGAGTATCTTGCTACAACGTTAGAATCTAGAGAACAATAGGCAATTGCAGAATTTGCTGAATCTCTTTGGATCATACCAAAGGTACCGAAGTTAGGAATTGTGATAGGCTTCATATTATAACTTCTTTCATATTTTCTTAGGAAATGATATACAAGCATCAAAGTTTTAATACCTATCTTTGTGCTTGTTGTCAATGCTGCAAAGGATGCCACTGAATTAGTTGCAAAACTACGAGCTAAACATCACAAAAAAGATTTATCTATGTAATTGCCTAATTGGATTAGAGTATTAGAACTTATAGAGCTTTTTATTGTATAAATTAAAGGGTCTATTTTTTAAAGAAAGATGGTGGGGAATTTAGAATATTAGAATGTCATGTAAATAAAGTTGTTTTTTTATTCATTTGATTTGATTATCTTTGAATTTTGCAGCATGGGACTAGACTTTACAAACGGAACAATCTGCGACAATTTAAATGCAGGAGTTGTTGAGCCTGCAACGAGCAAACTAAAGATTACTCAGGTAAATTTATGTTTTCGATGCATTATAGTTTCTTATACCATTTTTCTTATAATTTTCTATTTATCAGTTTGCGACGGAAGCAGCAATAACTGTCCTTCGAATTGATGATATGGTGAAGCTTTTCAAAGATGAAAGTCAGAATGAGGAAGAATAGGGTGATTGATTTCGTTTTTGTTCTTGAAATGAAATGAATGCTTGTTTATTTATATAATACTAGGGAAACACTTCTCTTCCTTATTTAGAGTGAACATCCAAGACTCTTAGAAATTTTAAGTAATCTTTTTCGGTAAGTTACAAGCGAAAACTTTCTTACTTCTCATGAATTATGAATCTGGGTTGTTTTCTTGACTGCAGGTGCTTATGGTTACAGACCTCTAATAAATATGGATATCCAACAGAATTTGGCCGGTGATTTATAAGCACTAACTTATTCTTGAAGGACATCTGGACAGGATATTTTACTAAGAAAACATCAAGTAAAGCAAGTAACATAGGAGGATTAACATAAGGGAAGCACTCTGGTTAGAAAAATATTAACTTGAGTCAATTATAAAGCATAAAGATGCTAAGGTTCTGTTTAATATGGCTTTGGTTTTGGTTTTTTAGTTTTTATTTTTCATATAATAATTGTTAAGATATAAAAATTAAAAATCAAAAACCTAAAATTAAAATCATATTAAATGGGGTAGTTATTGAATGGTCAAGTTCGAATAACAAAAAATTACGTGGAGTAAAATTTAAATTGGCAAAACTCTCAAATCTACTTTTAAAAAATATCGGTAGGAATACATTTACCCTTAAAAAAAAAGCATGGATAAATTGTCCCTCTAAATCATAAATCAATACAAATCATCAATTTTTCAATGAAAAACGTCATGATTTTATTTGTCACGTCAGCATTTTTTAATGAAAAACGTTAAAAAAGAAGTGATTTGTATTGATTTATGATTTGAAAAGGTAATTTGTCTTTTTTTTTTTAAGGAGTGGATGTGTTCTTATCGATATTTTTTTAAAGATGGATTTGAGGGTTTTGCCATTTGAATAAAATTCAAATTTGAAGAAGAATCAGGTTGAAATTTTTTGAAACAGGTTGAAATTTTTTGAAACAGGTTTTATTGTTTAGTTTAATTTGATAACATTGTCTTGGAATTGTAGTTATAAGTGTTTTGAGATTTTAATATCTCGAAAATATATAAAATATTTTATTTTAATTAATATTTTATATTTTTTTAAAATAATAAAAAAATATAAAAATCAAAATCTAAAGTATGGAGAGGTGAGGGAAATTAGGCTTGGCCCATGTTCTTCTTTGGAACTAACGGGCCTATTATTGGGCTCAATTAACTATTCCGACAGAAAGGGGATCTAGAAGCTTCAATGTTGAAATCACTGTTACTTTCTATAATCTTCTAGTATTGCAAACTTGTTACATTGCAAAATCAAACAACATTTTCTAGGGTTTTCAAATCAATAATTCCAAAAAAACTTGATTCGGTGTTCGATTGGAGGTGGCCAAGAGGACGAACTTTCTCTGCAATAGTGTTGTTACTTTTGGATTAAAGAATCAGTTTTTAGGAGCCCAGCTGCATCCTAATTCTCAGTCGAACTACACAGAAACTTCTTATTATAGAATTTCTTCTCATTTTAAGTTTGATTATTTTTCTAACATTAGTGATTATGATAGTTGATAATGATACTTAACCTGTAGTAGATTATTACATACATAAAATACAATAAAATAATAAGATATCCACCCCTCGAGTCAAGATTCAAAACTACTCCATACGAAATATACTTAGTGTTCAATTATTGAAATATTAAGAAATTTTTACTGATAAATCCACCAAAATGATATACTAGTTATTTATTAATAGATTCACATCAAAATGTAGTTGTAGCCTTTGTAGAGATAATCTATTAAATGCTTGCCACCCCATGATATCACAGGATGTCCATGTTACATTTTGACTTAAATCATTACAAATGACATAATTACACGTGTTATATAAATTTATTATATCAATTTATTTAAAAATATAATATAATTATAATTATAAAATTTATAATTTTATATGACATTATAATTTCATTATTATTGTTGGACAATAGTTTTTTTAATGTTACATTATTTTAGTTTTAGGCTCTCATTACTAATGTAATAATAAAGGTATTATTATATCAAATTTACATTTTGGAGTACAAATATAGAGAACTATCAATTATATTTACATTTTTAATTTTTTAACTAAATCTTTGATATTTGAATATCACATTCACTCTTAATTAATTTAAAGTCGAACTGCTTTAAATCTCATAAGAAAAACCCTCTCAAACATATGTCTCCATTTACATGATGTTGGTTTTAATTTTTAATTGTTACTTTCTATATATATATATATTAAATGATCTTGTGTGTTAGATTTTTAGTGTATATATATATTTGAGTTGGGATTCACTTATATATAATTTTTACATATTATATTTATATAAAATTTTAATTATTTATCTTTATAATTCATTTTTTGGCTTTTAATAACTTAGATTTATTCACATTTATTAAATATAATTATTTCTTACTTAAAAAATATAATAAATTTCAACCATTAAAAGGAAAAAGTTAAACATCCATGTGTGCATATATATAAAAGGTTTTTTTATCTTGTGCCTTTAGACATAGGTTAAGGGTGTAATAAATGTATATTTTTACAATTAATTCATGTAAAAAATAACAAAAGTTAAATGCTTGATGTCCTAATCAAGCCCAAGCCCAAGCCCAAGCCCAAGCCCAAGCATAATTAGAACTAAACTCACTAGGCCACAAGCACAAAATCCACCTCCCAACCCATTCTACATATGTGGAAGGTGACCACTTTGATATCAACTGAAATGACTTAGACTTAGGCTAAAACTTGTCATTGGTCTAACGACTCTTCAAGTCAAGGTCCACAAACTCTCAAAATCTCAAGCTCAAGTTGTTAGTGGCCAAATTACTTGCA